TATTGCAATTGAAAATTGTAATATAGATTGTATGGGAAAATAGTTTTATATACTTTCCCAATACTTTCAATTGTTTTACAATGGCATTCTGTTTTAAAAGTTGTTTGCTTGTTTTATTGTTGCCGACCAAATATACTCAGGGATGTTGTCTCACACGGTTAGGTCATAGGAGTGTTTGTGCCGGTATTTTCTTACGTATAGACAGAAGTTATTGCTAGACATTTAGTCTGAGTCTGAAATGTATTTTATTTGAAATACAATGTTCTCAACGCCCGGTAACTGTCTGTATGTGTAAACCATTGTCTTATATTTATTATACACCTGGGTGTAAGCATTATATAAGTAAAATTTTTGTGAATCACATATTTTTATGTGTCCTAGCTCATATTAGCACTTATACAGTTATACAGTGGATCAATTATACAGTATTAATATACAATTATTTACACAATAAAACAAGCAAACAACTTTTAAAACAGAATGCCATTGTAAAACAATTGAAAGTATTGGGAAAGTATATAAAACTATTTTCCCATACAATCTATATTACAATTTTCAATTGCAATACCAATTTGAATGTCAAAGGATTTCAATGTTCTCGTGTAATGATGGGATCACCGTTTATGGCATCACCTAATTAGTGCCCGACTACGTATACTCTATGTTTTTGTTGAACCCTTTTCCACACTACAGGTACAAATACTGTTCCAGTGATCCAGGTCTTAGCAAAATGTATGTTTATTTAGTTAACATTAAAACCAATTGGCATCGCATATCATATACCAATTATTGTATGAACTATGAGCTACACGACCCTCCCGTCCCTCCCGTCTCACTATCTATTCTTGAGTCGAGAGAGAGAGAGAGAGAGAGAGAGTTATTGACCTCTCGTTTAGGGAATCAATTAAACAATTAGTAAATTATAAGACACACCACACATACACTGTGGGAGAGAGACAGTGGAACGGGAGGTATAGACACTCACATACAGTGGTAGAGTAGATGGAGTACACTAAAAACCAGCACAAGTAGTAGTTGTTGTACCCATACAGATATGCCATAAGATGCTACGGCTATGGTAAACGTGTGTATAATGTATACACAGGGCATACCTGTGCCCGTGTGTGAGGAAAGCCTGTTTTCTCATGACAAGCACTCGCCGCCTGTCGTAAAGGCCTCCACACAAACACACAAACCGCTCCAATCGCTGACAGCCGCCCAGGTATACATACCATCCCCTTTACATACACCTTCCCATACAGTTTGCATGCGTTTCTCTGGACAGACACCACACTCTACCCATACATCCCAATTCAAACACACACTTTAATTGAGAGATTAAGAGAGTCTGCGAGAGAGAGAGAGAGAGAGAGAATAATAGTGTCGAGTAGTGTATGGGATGAGTATATACTGAATATCTCTCTCGGAATCAGTGGTATACGAGCTACTAGTGTCGTAAGCTTTCAACGTTTTTATATTTTCGAGATCCCTGTCCACACACGATATACTGTTTTTTATTTGCGTGTATTTTCTGACACAAAGTTTTTACGCAAATACTATTGACTTATATTTGCTTTTTAAAGCTATAGTTTTGTAATTGTGTTCAATATATACACCACTTGTGAGGGGTTGTGTGTGTGTATAGCCCAGTGTTTCTGTGTGTTTGTACCCACGAAGTTGAGTGGACAGGTAGACTGAATGGTGGCAATGGATTCACACTGCATCTTATCGATCGTGGAGGGAGGGCTGCACCACTACCAGGGCCCGCACGGTGGGGGCGGCGGCGGTGGTGGTGGTCGGAGACCCGGCACCAGTATTAGTGAGTGCACCGAAACTCACAGCCCGATTCACATGCAGTTACAAGACTCGGACCTCTGGAAGGAGTTCCACCGCAAGACCAATGAGATGATTGTCACCAAAAGCGGACGGTATGTGTGCTATGTGTCCGGGAACACCTAATTTGTAGTTAGAAATAGTTTTAATATACATTTAAGTGGCGATAAAAATACAATTAAATTGATTTAGACTCTGTAACTATGCTTTTTTAAACATAACTTTAGTGTATATTGTAGTCTATTATAATAATTAATTCAAATTTACTTAATTAAAAAGCTTTAGAAATTATTAAATAAAATGCATTTTAATAGTCAATAGTAAATCACTTTCTTATTTAGCACATGGAGACAATATAATGTGAATTTTAGCCTGGTTACTTATGAATGGCTAATCGCATACTATGTTATTATTTATAATAGCTAATACATTGGATATAAAAATAGCTAATAGATAAATATGATTGAAAACATACTTGGTTTATATGGCACCAAATATATAAACATAACTTTTATAAAACAAATATAACTTAAATACTAATTAAAATCAATTTATAATATACATAATATACCACATATCTAACTCCATGTCCACTCGCATGCCTGTCTAGTCGTATGTTTCCCGTAATAAAGCTAAACGTGGAGGGCCTGGAGCCGCGGGCCATGTACTCCGTGGCCATAGAGTTCGTGCAGATCGGTGCCCACCGTTGGAAGTATATGAACGGCGATTGGGTGGCCGGCGGTAAGTCGGAGCCGGCGCCCCAACAGTCGCAGTCGCTGTACATACACCCGGAGTCCCCCAACTTTGGCGCCCATTGGATGCGTGAGTCGGTCTCCTTCTCCAAAGTGAAGCTCACGAACAAGCCGTCGGCACAGGGAGGACAGGTACGCAAATGTCAGGTTGTGCTCAATTCGCTGCATAAATACGAGCCCCGGGTTCACGTGATACGAGTGGACAGTCAGGAGGGCTGCGACAAGATCTTCACATTCAACTTCTTGGAGACACAATTCATTGCAGTCACCGCTTACCAGAATGAAGAGGTAAGGTATCTGACCCCTAGTATCCATAGACGATTAGTGTCTGTCCATACCATGTCTGTCCCCACAATGATGTCTGTGTTTATGTCAACACTTTTTTCTATCTTAAAAGCATTTAATATATTAAATCTTATGTATATTTAGAGCACAAACTCTGTATTGTTCAGACATGTCATGTATTATGAGTGAGACAGGTATCCCATAGGGGAGTGTTAGGTAGAAAGGGTTCAGTAGTTTATCAATTTGTTTAGTGAGAGACACCTGAGACTACAGCTACAGGAAAGGCGACAGTGGTTTCAGATTATAAAAAGGATTAACTCATTAAATAAATACCAAGACTACATTTGATTTTAGGTAGAAATTGTGGGAATGAATGGATGCGTGAAAAACACTTGATATATAAAAGTGTGAGAAAAGGCTCATAAAAATGTGAACCAAATAATGACTATGTGTTAGCCATCGATCGATGATTATGATTGCATTATTACTCGCGAGTTGTGAACAACATTTCACTATCACCTGAAATATTGGCGTTTAAACTGCGATGACATGTGTGTTAACACTAATCACCCGCTTTTACCCGCTTTTCGGGCGCTAATTATATGCGCATATCGTATGGCATCTAATTTACACGTATATCTCAATGGCTATAATAAACACTTTGTTATAACGAGTGAACATAACTGTTAGGTACACCTATTGAGGGGGAGGGGGTGGGAGCTATCATACACTTTAATAAGAGTTTAAATGACAAAATAAAGTTTCAAATCCTTGAATGCATACAAACTTTTTGATACTTTTGCGATATGTCTGTCCAGTAGTAAAACATACTGTCCTCTTGACTATAGGTAACTCAACTGAAGATACGGCACAACCCGTTCGCGAAGGCCTTTCAGGACGCGAGGGAACGACCCATCAATGAGATCAATAACAATCAAATGGGAGAGGGAGGGGGTGGCGGTGTGGGACCGCCTAATAAAGTAGTCATCAACGATAGCCTACACCATCACCACCACCATCCACACCACCCCCACCATCAGGGCTCGCACTCACCGCCAACACCTAACAGCTGGTCCAACAGTCCCTACAATCATAGCCAGGGTATGGGTGCCAATATTGGAAGTCCGTTCGGCGGCTCCACAGGAACGGGAGGTTCGGGTATACATTGCGAACGGTTGGCAACATTGAGGTCGCATCGGGCGATGCCGTACGGCTTGGATAGGCCACACATCAAGAGGTCGCCCTCACCCTACGGTATGTCATGTGAATTGCGGCACAAATGAAAAGTTTGTGTAATTTTTATTAATTTATTTCTCAAACTTTTATTTGTGTTAAGAATACAATATAATTCTCTCTCTCTCTCTCTTTCTCTCTCTCTCTCTCTCTCTCTCGTAATGTTTACTTAAGTTTAGAAATTCAAATCATAATTAAACAAGAAAAAACTTTTGCAAGTATATTTTATATTACTATTACTTTATGATTGATATTAATATTTAAAAATTTTATTTAATATTAATATCAATAATAATAATAAAACTTTACAATTAGGGTTTGTTTAGTATAAAAAAAGCTTACGTGATATAAAAGCGAGAGAGAGAGAGATCCTTAAACAATAGGATTGAGAAATATTGTAAATCTCTCTCTCTCTCTCTCTCTCTCTTTCTCTCTCAATGACAACGAGTAATAAAAGACTTTATGTGTAAAAGAAATATTTTCTCGTATTTTGTTTTTTCTGTAATTTTTATGAACACCAAAGACGAGAGAGAGAGAGAGAGAGAGAGAGAGAGAGAGAGAGAGAATGGATTGTGACATAAGTTATGTACAGAAATATAAAGTTTTATTTCAATACCCTTTTCATTGCATAAACCCCTCAATCGGCGAAAGTTTTATAGTTAGCCCTATAATAATCAGTCGCACGTAGTATATAGTATATACGTAAGTACATGAATTATATTGTTTATGCCCTTGTATACATTTTATACAATACATGTATATCTGGTGCAACAAAACGGAATGCAGATTTAAATTCTTACAAAAACTATTACTATACTGTGCTGTAGTTAAACGTATTGCACTTTTTATAGCATTAATTAGTTTAAAATGTTAAAACTTTTAATAAGTTTTTACAAACTATATTTAAAAATAATTACAATTCTGTAGGTCCAGAATCGGGACTATATGTACTATATTCACTAAATATAGTTAAATCACATGATTGTCAAATTTGTTATAAAATAAGAGTTATAAATGAAAGGGCCCAGGACTTTGATACAGAAGCTATTATATTGTTAATGTTACATACGATGGCATCTGAATCAATGAATGCATTGTTGGTGTAGTAGTGAGACATTATTATGAATGAACTGTAAGGGAATGGTAGTGTGTGTGAACTGTAAGGGATGTGTATACGGTAGAATACGCTAGGATGCACCTTGCTACCAAAGTATCATTATATTAGACTACATGCCCTTAATCTGTTAGTACAGTATTTAATTAGACTTATAAATACTTTTAAAAATATATGAATTTTTTTAGAGAGAGAGAGAGAGAGAGAGAGAACTTGCAAATACTAAATTTCCTTGGTATAGATTATACATATTTTTAATATAAACTATTTATTACTAAACTAGTAATAATAAAAGTTTATTATTTAATCGGAAAATATGTCTAATAATTGCCGAAATAGACGCATATAATCATATAAACACTGAATTAGTTGACAGAAAAATACATTTTTCATAAGAAAAGGGGAATTAATTTATTTGCGTT